CTTCCCCTCCATGCTCCTCTTGGGATCTGGGGCACACACGCACACGTGCCCGGCGTGAGTTTTAAGCCACGGGGTCCGGGACGGGACCCGCAGTCGACTACGTGGGAGTCCGGCGACATAGCCATTACGCTAACGGCCGGTCCCTGAACTTTGCTCTCTTAAGGAATTTCTCAAGCAGAGCATTCTCAAGTACTGCTTTTATATATATTTTTAAAGTTTTGTTTACCCTCCCCACCATAGGGTGCATGCATTTGCTGGACAGAGGCAGAGAGAGAGGGAAAGTGAGAAATCACCTCCCCCAGGGGGGATGGCTATGCCGCAATACCCTCTCCTCCATTCTCCGCTCGAGGTTTTGGGCAGAAACACACACATGCCCAGCATGTTTTTCAGGCCGTCGGATCCAGGGCTTGAATTGCAGAGCACATCGTGTGGGATCCAGGGCCATAAGCACCACGCCACCCACTGGCCCAGTGCTTTGATTGTTTAGACTGAAGAGCAAGGTGACAGAGTAGGATTCAGAATGAGGGAGGTGGGGTGACTGTGAAAGGGGAGGTTGGGAAGAACTGGTTGACTACAGGCTTCTTAGGAGAGGGAACAGATGAAGAAAGTGGCTATGGAAATTGATTCCTTTAAAATGCAGAGTCCAGGGACCAGCAGTTAGCGTAATGGCTATGTCGCTGAACTCCCACGTAGTTGACCACGGTTCGAGTCTCGGACCCAGTGGCTTAAACTCACACCAGGCGCGTGTGCGTGCATGCCAAAGATCCCAAGAGGAGAATGGAGGAGAAGGGATTGCGGCGTGGTCATCCCCCCGGGGGTGTGATTTCTCACTTTCTGTCTCTGTCTCTCTTTCTGGAGAGTGCACGAGCCCTATAGCAAAAAAGAGAAAAATGATTGTGGCAAAGAGTAAAAACTAGTGGGACCAGCAGATAGCACAATGGTTACATCACTGAATTCCCATATAGGCAACCACAGTTCAAGTCCCGAACATGGTGGCTTAAACCTCACACCGGGCGCATGTGCGTGCATGCTTAAGATTCCAAGAGGAGAATGGAGAAGGGATTGTAGTGTGGCCATCCCCTTGGGGGGTGATTTCTTGCTTTCTGTCTCTCTGGCAAGCACACATACCCTATAGCAAAAATCTCTCAAGAAAAATAAAAAAAGAATGGAAACTAGTAACTGGAACAGGAACTAGCTTGGCAAGGCTGAGGTGTAGCTGACATAGGAGTCAGATGTGTGACTTTAACAATATTAAATTCTTATTTGTTTGATGCTTATGAATTTGGTAAAATGCTAATCTTTCCCCTATGATGAGATATAATGTGAATAAGGACACAGAGGCCTGATAGTAATTATAAGAGACATTTATGAAGGTCTTTCTAGGGGTCTTCCACACAGGGCTTCAGGCAGCCAGGCCTTTATCTAGCACTCTGTAGCTTTCTGCTCTTCCTCATCTGGGCGAACTGAGTTCTGTTTTCTTCTCTCAAGCACAGACACCTGCAGACCTGGAGTTACAGTCGTCCCTATGAACAAGGGTGAGGGTAGGGAGGGTAAGAAATGTCTGCTTTTCCTGTCCCCAGGTAAACAGGATCTTGATGCATGGCGTGGGGGTGCCAGAGAGCTTGCCATTTATATTATCCAGGGATGAGATAAGGCCACCATAGAAGGAAAGATCAGAAACTCTCTGGACAACAGGGAAAGGTCGTACGTCGATGTGTCCTCTCTCCTGATGCCCTTTGCTTGTCTCCTTGCCCTGTCATGCATTGGGAGAATGGAATGAGTCAGAGGAGACTGGGGGAAGCGTGGTTTATAAATCTCTTGTAAACTGTCTCAGCTCAAGCAGGAATATTATTTGAATATCAAGGTATGGGCTATGCCACGTATTAGTAAAATCTAGGATTCTGCCAGTCAAATCAACCTTTATCTAACCTTGGCACTCTAAAAGTCCTCAGAGCACCACAGCATGGGAGGATGGGTTTCCCATGGTACCAAACTACACCGAGTTATAATGTGAAAACATACAGCACACATACTCTTGTGTTGAGTATAAGTTCGAGGGTCTGTGGCACAAATAAGAGAAATACCCTCAAGTCCCAAATGAGTGTTAATGTAGTTCTATTATAAAGTGTCTCAGCGCAGAGAAACCACTCCTTGAACTTTGCAGGGCAAACATGGATGTTTTGATTTTTTTTTTTTTTTGCAGGCCTCACAGCATGTTTTCAAGCCACATCACACACTCACTAGAACTGCCCATAACAATAAGAAAGCGATTCTTATCTGCAGAAACTCAAAGGAAACTGAAGATACTTGAAGTTCTACGTTTCAAAGTCAGGGCTAGAGAGGAGGGCTGATTACCTGTGGAAGTGGAAGTGGCCACTCGGCTGCTGAGGGTTTGGGCCACTCCAGATAAGAGGTAACAGATTACCCCTGGGTTTCACTAGCCCTCGGGCCTGGTGACCAAAGGAATAAACACAGTCTTTACATCGGCTGCTATGGCTCATCTGTTTTCCTGTAGGTTTGTATGGCCATGGGCTCTAGGAACGAGACCCCGAAATTCCCAAGAAGGGTCCTCAGGCATGCCCAAACCCCTGCCCCCCGCCCACCCACCCACCCCTCCATCTAACATGCCTATGTTCAGGCAAAGTGTGCGAAGCTGCAGTCCCAAATACCCTTTGCGAGAAACGACGGAGGGAGAAGATTCTTTTGAGTCCAAGTACCTGCTGTCTCCCATAGCACGGGTGAAAGACCTTAGGTGAGTTGAGGAGAAGCAACTAAGATGCTGGATTCTCTTTTGAGTCAAGGCAGGACTTCACTCATGCTCAGGAGGAAAGGTCACTTTGTCCTCCCTGG